GCGCGCACCACCTCGTCCTTGAGGCGCTGGTAGCGGTCGGCCTGCGGGTGAGGATGGTATCACCGTTGGGTGCCCACTGGGTGCCCATCATCGCAACGCGCACAGCGTTGGGTGCCCATCGGGCCAACAGTGTCAGCAGTGGGTGCCCGTTGGATGCCCATCATAGCAACATGCTTAGCGTTGGGTGATGGTCACCCGTTGGGTGCTCACTATGTCAACAGGGTCAGTGTTGGGTGTCCGTCATGCCAATGGGGTTGATGTTGGGCACCCATCACGCCAACAGGGTCAGTGCTGGGTGATGGTCACCCGGTGGGTGTCCATCATGCCAATGGGGTCAATATTGGGCGCCCATCACGCCAATGGGGTCAACGTTGGGTGATGGTCACCTGTTGGGTGCTCATCATGGCAACAGGGTCAAAACTGGGCATCCATCATGGCAATAGGGTCAGTTTTGGGTGCCTGGTTGCCTGTTGGGCATCCACCATGCCAACGGGATCAACACTGGGCACCCATCATGCCAACAGGGTGAGGGCTGATTGATGGTCACCCATTGGGTGTCCAGCATGCCAACAGGGTCAATGTTGGGCACCCACCATGCTAATGGGGTCAATGTTGGGTGCCCAATATGGCAACATGCTCAGCATCGGGTTCCCACAATGCCAATGGGGTCAAAGTTGGGTGTCCATCTGGTCACTCACTGGGTACCCATTGGGTGCCCATCATGCCAACAGGGTCAATGTTGGGTGCCCATCATGACAAGGGGGTCAGCATTGGGTGATGGTCACCCGCTGGATGCCCACCATGCCAATGGAGTCAACATGGGGTGCCCATCATGCCAACAGGGTCAACGTTGGGTGCCCACTGGGTGCCCATCATGCCCACAGCATCAGCACTAGGTGCCCATCTGGTCACCCAATGGCTGCCAACGGGGTCGGCATTGGGTGATGGTCACCTGTAGGGTGTCCATGATGACAACGGGGTCAACATCGGGTGCCCACAATGGCAACAGGGTCAACGTTGGGTACTGGTCACCCATTGAGTGTCCATCATGGCAACGGGGTCACTGCTGGGTGCCCATCATGCCAACGGAGTCAACGTTGGGTGCCTGTTGGGTGCCCATCATGCCAACAGGGTCAACGTTGGATGCCCACCTGGGTGCCCACCAATGTTGGGTGTTTGGCCTCCTTGAACCCACCGTGGCCACAACCACCTCCTTCTTCTTGGCCTCCTCAGCTCCACCCATCATCACCCACAACCGCCTCCTCGGCCTCCTCAGGCCCACCCATGGCCTCAACCACCCCTTTGGCCTCCTTACACCCACCATGGCCTCAACCACCTCCTCGGCTTCCTCCTGCTCAGCCATGGCCTCAAACAATTAATGGCCTCCTCCCGCCCCGCCACAGCCTCAACCGCCTCCTCGGTCTCCTCATGCCCTCCACGGCTGTCCCCACCTCCTCCTTCTCCTGCTTGGCCTCCTTGCGCTCGGCGGCGATGTTCTTCTTGCGGTGGTAGTTGAACTGCGTGTCCTCCTC